CCCCCTCCATGCCAGCATGCTGCATTCACATCTCTCAGAACACCAAGTTGAAGTCTAGTTCCTCTTTCCCTGTGGAAATATAAACAATACCCTCCCTCCCATTGTGTGAGTTGGTGCCCTGTCCCCCCCGCTACACATTTCTATCTTCCCCCATTCCTTTTTAGTTGGCAACCATATGTACCCCTGCATTTTGTCTGGCCCCTGACATGCTACCTGGACCTCACCCCTGGAATGTTTGTATACAGTAGCTTTTTCCCTATGCCCCCTTTGCATTTTTTTAAGCTTACCACAGCAGACTCATGTACTTGTCCTTTTGCACTTGATGTACTTCACTTAGCATAATTTCCTTCAGTTCTTCCCATGCAGTGATACGCTTCATGCGTTCCTCACTGCTTTTTAGCGATGCGTAGTACTCCATTGTATGTATGTACCACAGTTTTTGATTCATTCATCTGTTGACGGAATTTGGGTTGTTTCCAACTCCTTGCAACTGTGAACTGTGCCACGATGAACATTGGAGCATTGATGTCTGGCCATAGTTTGTTCCTTGGCTCTTCTGGGTATATGCCCAGTAGGGGGGTTGCTGGGTCATATGGTAGCTCAATTTCCATCTGGGCACCAATTGTTCTAACCTAGGTGCAAACAGCTTGCTCAAAATTGAAAAACAGCCAATCACTTCCACTCTCTCCACTTGAGTCTCCTATCAGGTCTAATTACATGTCTTTTCAAGTGAATTGGTTACAGCAGAGTTTCTAGACAAAGCAAATTTTGAAGAGAGTGTAGGCTTTCACTTTTGAGGAATTAGCCACTGAAAATCTTATGAATAGCAGCAGAACATTGTCAGATATGGTACCAGAAGATGAGCCCCTCAAGTCAGAGGGCACTCAAAATATGACTGAGGAAGGGCTGCCTTCTCAGAGTAGAATCTTCCATAATGGCATGGATGAAGCAAAGCATTCAGGACTTTTATTTCCTGATAGGGCATGACCCATCAATGAAATTAAACAGCTGCAACTAACTATTAATAATAGGAACTTAACATGTATGAAGTATGAATCTAGAAAAATTAGAAGTTGTCAAAATGAAATGGAACACACAAAGATCTATTTTCTAGGCATTACTGAGCTGAAACAATCTGGTATTGGCCATTTTGAATCAGAAAATCATATGGTTTACTATGCTGCAGTGGCTAATTCAAGAGTTATGGTGTTGCATTTATCATCAATAAAAATATTTCAAGATAAATCCTGAAATAAAATGCTATCTGTGATAGGATTATATGTATCTGTCTTTGAATAAATGCAGATAATACAACTACTATTCAAGTTTATGCACCAACCACTAAAGCTAACAATGAAGAAAATTGAAGAAATCTACAATGTATTTAGTATGAAATTGATCAAACACACAATTAAAATGCATTGATATTGGCAGCAAGAATGCAAAAGTTGGAAATAAGAAGGAAGGAACAGTAGCTATAAAACGTGACCTTGGTGATAGAGAAGATAGTGAAGATCACGTAATAGAATTTTGAAGAACCAACAATATCCTCATTACAAATACTTTTTTTTAACAACATAAATGATGCCTATAAAGGTAGACTTCTTCAGATGGAATACATGGAAATAAATGTGACTACCTCTGTGGGAAGAAATGATGGAGAAACTCACTATCAGCAGCTGCAACCGGGAGAGAGGCTGACTGTGGAACAGACCATCAATTATTTCTTTGTAAGTTAGGGTTGTTTCTGAAAAAAATTGAAACACTTCCTGGAGAGCCAAAATAGAGCCTTGAGTATACTGTATACCACCAGAATTTGAAGAACATCTCAGGAACAGATTTGACACTTTGAACACTGAGGATAGGATACCTGATAAGCTGTGGGGTGACATCAAGAACATCATACATGAAGTAAGCAAAACGTCACTAAAATGAAAGAAAAATCAAAATGGATGTAAGAAGAGATTCTGAAGCTTGCTCTTAATCATAGAGTAGCGAATACAAATGGAAGAAATTACGAAGTGAAAAAGTGGAACAGACAATTTCAAAGGGCAGTTTGGGATGATAAAAGTAATGTGAAAAGACTGGGAGTTGGAAAACCAGAAAAGAAGAACATGCTCAGCAAATCTTAAACTGAAAGAACTGAAGAAAAAAGTCAAGCCTTGAGTTGCAGTATTGAAAGATTCTATGGACAAAACATTGACTGATGCAGGAAACATCAAAAAAGATGGAAAGAATTCACAGTCACTGTACCAAAAAAAAGCCCAAAAAACTAGGCAATGGTCAAGCATTTAAAGAGATATCATATGGTCAAGAACTAACGGTACTGAAAGAAGAAATCCAAGTTTCACTGAAAGCATTAGCCAAAAACAAGTCTCCAGGAACTTACAGAATATAAATTGAAAAGTTTCAATCAGATAATGAGGCACTGGAAGCTCTCACTTGTCTATGCCAAGAAATTTGGAAGACAGCTACTTGGCCAACTCATTAGAATAGATCCATATTTGTACCCATTCAAAGAAGGGTAACCCAACAGAATGTGCAAATTATGGAACAAATCAATGATATTACACGCAAATAAATTTTTCCTGCAGATCATCCAACAATGATTGCAATAGTACATTGACAGGGAGCTGCCAGAAATTCAGACTGAATTCAGAAGAAGATGGAACAAGTAATGTCATTGGTAACATCAGTTGGATCTTGGCTGAAACAGAGAATACCAGGAAGATGTTTACTTGTATTTTATTGACTACACAAAGGCATTTGACTATGTGGATCCTAACAGCTCTGGATAACTTTGAGAAGAATGAGAATTCCAGAGTGGTTACTTGTGTTCATACAGAACCTGTGCATGAATCAAGAGGCAGTTGTGTGAAAAGAATAAGGGAATACTGTGAGGTGTTAAATCAGGACAGGATACTTACCTGGTAGAGGATATACCATGATCATGAAGGTGGTTTTCCCAGGGTGAGGATTATTCATTACACACACAGGATGTGCTGACCCCTGCAATTTCCCCAAATGTGGGAAACTCGACTGTATAATTTTGTTAGTGGGGGACTGTGTATGCACTCTGCCTTTTAAAAATGAAATAAAATCAGAAAAAGTTTGTGTAAGGATTGTATCTTCTCAAAATACTTATCCAATCTGTATGCTGAGTAAATATTTCAAGACTCAGTTATATGAAGAAGAATGAGGCATCGGGATTGGAGAAAGGATTATTAACAACCTGTGATATGCAGATGACACAACCTTGCTTACTGAAAGTGAGGAGGACTTGGAAGCCCTTGTTGAGGAAGGTCAAGGATTGTAACCTTCCATATGAATTACAACTAATGTGAAGAAAACAAGAATCCTCACAACTAGACCAATAGGTAACATCGTGATAATCAGAGAAAATATTAAAGTTGTCAAGGATTTCATCTTACTTGTATCTGTAATCAATACTTAGGGAAGCAGCATTTAAGAGATGAAAAGACACACTGCATTGGGTAAATATGCTACACATTTCCTATTTAAAGTGATGAAAAGCAAGGATGGTATGTTGAGGATTAAGCTATACCTGACCCATAGTTGACCCATGCCATGGTATTTTCAGTTGCCTTATATGCCCATGAAAGTTGGACATTGGATAAGAAAGACCAAAGAAGTATCTATGAATTTGAATTGTGGTGCTGGAAAAATAATATTGAAAATACCATGAACTGCCAAAATAACAGAGATGTCTGTCTTAAAAGAAGCACAACCAGAATGCTCCTTAGATGCAAGGATGGTGATACTTCATCTCATGTACTTTGGCCATGTTATCAAGAGAGACCAGTCCTGGAAAAAGGACATCGTACTTAGTAGAGTAGAAGAGCAGCAAAAAAGGTGAAGATCCTCAGTAAGATGGATGACACAGTGCCTGCAACATTGTGCTCATGGCTAACATCAATTGGAAGGATAGAGTGTGTTGTCCTGGCAGTTTCATTCTGCTGTACATCGGGTTGTTATGAATCTAAAATGACTCAACAGCACCTAAAAACAACAATTGTGCATAAAGATATGGGGCTACCGCGAATAACTGAGAATAACAATTCCATATGATTCAGCAATGCCTTTCCTGAGTATATACTCTAAGGAAGTAAGAAACATAACTCAAATAGATTAATGCACTCATTTTCATTGAAGCACTGGTCACAATAGCAAAAAGTTGGAAGTAGGCCAAAAGGCCATCAGTAGAAGAATGGTCAAAGAAACTTTGTTACATACATATAGTAGAATACTGTGTATTGCTTAAAACATTGATGAAACCATGAAGCGCCTCCTGATATGGATGGATCTGAAGAATATTTTGCTGAACAAAATTAGCCAATCACAAAATGTAAAATAATATATAAGACCACTAATATAAGAAAACACGGAGACAAAGACTGGCATCTGTTCTCAGGTCATGAAATAATTTAATCTAATCTCCCAAGTAATGTTGTAGTGTGTCTGTCTAATGCTTATGAACCATTTCACTCCTTTATTTTTACATCTTAAAAATCACTTCTTCAGAGGATGTCCCACCTCCACTTGTTCAGTTTTTCATTTAGAGGTCTTTTGGAGACGAAAAATAGTCCCTGACATATATTATTGTTCCATACTTCTCCCAATTTAATAGATATCCCTACAGTGGTGTTCAATGCAGTTGATTTAAAATTCATGACCAGAGGATGAGGGAGATATAGTTGTCTCTGAAAAGGTGATTTCACTTATTGTGATACATATACTGAGGAGAGGCAGCATACCCTGGGGTAAAATAATTCACATTATTTGTATAGACTTGTAGTCGGACCCATACTGTATTATGTGGCTAATCATGCATTTTGACCAAATTTCCTTTCTGTGATTCAGACTTCATGCTACAGGCTACTTGGATTTTAGATTCTGTATAGAATACTTCATAGGCCCCGATCAAAAGGAACTGATTTGGAAACCCCACTAAGTGAACTAGACTTTACCTTAAACACATCTGTTTCAGATTAGAGGAACTGAAATATTCCTTTGGACTTAAATCTGAAACACCTTAGACTAAAAAGAAGCAAACAGCTGCAATCTCATGGTTGTGGATTTTGAAGTTATTGGATTTAGGTTCAAATCTCTTGATTTTGAGCTTGTCCAATAATTGTCAACTTAAGACCAACATTTAATTGCTATTTTTCTAGTTTATTTGCTTTTGGAGATATATCTTACTTCTGCAGACATAATTTTGCCTTAGTGAATGAGCATTAATGAAATTTTTGCCTTGTGTCTCTCATTGTTTTCTTAAGCAATGTTTTATCACTTATGTTTTTTAATTGGTCTAAGTGAAATTCCTGTGTAATTAAGTCTAAAATGTTTTCTTATGTATGTATGTATTTCTTTGTTCCATAGCATTTTAAAATCTATGCCGTTGGCTAGATTAATAATATTATTATTAGAATTACCTAATATCCCATGAAGAATACATATATTATTTCTCAAGAAGCTGATAATGCTACTTCTATAGTGGACCAGGGATATATGTGAACCTTAGATATATGAGTGAATTTTGAGCTTGCACTTAATTATAAACCCAAATAAAGTCCAATTCATTGCTGTCAGGAAGTTATCACTGAAGATATGGTTGCTATAGCAGAGTGTGTTGAAGAAGTCAGATGCTTTCTGGCTATCAGACAAGCTGAAGTCTTAAAGACTTGTCTTAAAGCAAGCAACCAAATAAGTGAGGTGTCAGCGAAGTCCACAAGGAAGAAACACTAGCCTGTGGGATTTAAGGATTCTTAATAGTAAAATCCATGATCAGAGGAGAGATCTTAAATTCTGAGCACCTGGTTTGAATGGCTATGGATGATAGTGAAAACCCAAAATTCATATGCAGAATCCCCATGCGGATTAAGCCACTATAGAATTCTCTCTGACTATTGCCAGAGACATGAATAGTCTTTTCCTTAAGCAGAAATGGATTGGAAAGTGGATGGCCTCCACTCTCACAAGCCTAATGAAGCCAATTCCCCCTTAAAGGCTTACTGGGTGTGTCCTTGTTGCAGATCATTGTATGAGGGGTTACATAGTCATAAATCATGACTTTACTGCTGTGGTAGTTACACAATTTCATGTCAACTTGATAAATAAGAATAAAGAAGTAGAGTCTAGCCTGTCCATCAGGTCACAGCCTGATGATCCTTCCTTGTGGGCAAGGCCTTCTCTTGAGAATTCTGGTAACTCTCTTGATTCTCCCATCAGAAGAGGTGGGCCACTCTTTCTCTCTGCTTCATATACCTGTTGACAAGCCACATGGACCCACGCTGATGGCAACCAGAGCCCTTGAGCTGGAGGAGCCACGCCAATGCTGAGAGGGTTCCAGCACCACTGGATCCACAAGACTTCCCACCCACCGGCCTGTGATCTTCCTGCATTTGGCACCATTGTATGTGCTGTGTAAGTCTAAACTAGTATCAGGCATATGAGATAATATTGGACTTATGGACTTGATGTAGACTGGGCCCAGATGTTTTCTCAATATATAATTGCTCTTCCATATAAAGCTCTTCCCTAAACATATATGAGTATCCATTGATCTGTTTCTCTAGTCAACCAGGTCTAACACAACTGCTTTAGGTCAGTGTTTGGATCAATATTGGAAGATCCTCTGTTTAATGTAATTTACATGTCCCAAGTATGGCCCCTATCCTGCTTCAGAAAAACCCACCTGAAACAATGATGCTGCAAACTATGCATTTGTCACCATCTTTTAAACCTCCCATATCCTTTTTAAAACTCTGTATCTCAGCAAACCCTTGGACTCCATTATGAACAAGGACTAATGGTCCCCCTCATTTGGATAATATCTCTCTGAAGTTATCTTGTCTTTGCTCTCTTCAAGACTGAATAAATGTTCTCTTTTCTCTCTTTAAGACTGAATAAATGTTCTCTTTAACAAACAAGAAACCACCCTACTACAGAGCCATGATAATTAAAATAGTCTGGTACTGGTACAATGACAGATACATAGATCAATGAAACAAAATTGAGAACAAAGAAGGAAATTCATCCACCTATGGTCAGTTGATTTTTGAAGACTGAAGGGGTGGAGAATGGCTAAAATGTGTCAATGGGGGATGATATTGTCTCTTTAACAAATTGTGCTGGCAAAACTGAATATCCATTAACTGACCGATCCTATACAAAAATAAGCTCAAAATGGATCACAGACCTAAATGTAAAACCTAGAACTATAAAGACCATTATTGTAAAAAGCTGAGCTCACAGATCTGAGAGAATTATTCAATTCCCTGGATATAAAACACACCACCTGGCCACCAGACAGCCCACAAACTGACACATCCCTCGGTGGGTGGGTTTTATTGGGAATACAGGTAGAGAGTTTGTGTGTGAGAAAAGGTCCATAAACCCCAGGGCCCAGAGAGCTCTCCGAGGTAAAGTACTCAATAGACTGAACAATCTGCCAAGTGTCTAATGACACCACCTCCTGGTCAGCACCCCAATATAGCACCCCAGGCTGCGTATATAAGCAAATTTCCCTCTGATTAGGCTATTGCTTCATCCCTCCCTTTTAGACCTCTTAGGGAGGTGGTGGTTCTAAATCCCACTCTGTGGGGAGAAGGAGAGGGGTCGCCCACAAATCATCACAGGTCCGGTAGGTGCAATTGTACAGCGATAATAAGTAGAGATTATAGTAAAGTCATAGAGAGCATGCAAGGTAGAGGAGAGATTGGAATAAATGGAGTCAAGACACAATTCATGGTAGCATGCTCACCTCAGCCTCGCTTGGTGGTCCTCGTGGGGGGAGCCCGGCCACGAGAGCAGGAGATAGCCTCGGGGATCAAGGACCGGGGAGCCGCTTTCTTTATTGCTAACCAAGCGTTATATCTCTTTAGGGGGACATGATTACAGGAAACCACATGTCACAGGAAGAGGCAGTACAATAGGTATACACATCTTAGGAAGGGGATCTATGATAGGCATAAGCGTAACAGGAAGGGGATGAGCTAGGGGTGTGCCCATACGAATGGGAAGGTCTAGGGGTATACATATGACAAGAAGGGCGGACACTAGAT